ACACGCCAGGGCCGCAGCCTCTGTGCTTGGTAGCCGCCAGCCGGTCGCCAGATGGCTAACCCCTCCCTTTCACCGGCCATCCGACTTGTGAGGTCCAATGGGCACAGGTGGCGGGTGACAAGTGCCTTCCGCACCGCGATTCGGTTCAAACCTGAATGACTGCGGCTGGTTACTCCCCAGCGGGCACGCGAGGGATCACACGTGACATCTCCCATGCCGACGGCGTCATCTCATTACCGAACCCTGGGCCTGGTTGCAATTTGGAACTCAGCTTCCCCAGCGGCTGTTCTCACCCATCATCTCCCTCTGCGCCAATTGACACCCGCGTTCTGAGACACGCCCACCCCGGCCCCTCAGGGCGGCCACCGTCGTTGGTGTCCTTGCGCCTGTCCCCTGGCCTCTCGCCGGCCTCCCGACATGTGGGGTCCGGCGGTCACATTGGCACATTACAGTAGTCAACTGACCCTTTAGAAACACACTGAACATAAAGTAATCACTCGAACAAAAGTGTTAATGTCTGTATCATAAGTAATTTGAACTGTGAAAGTTATACAGCTGAAGTTATACACAAGCTGAAGTGTTTAACTGCAAGCGAACTAGCACAACTGTAATTGTGTGTTGTGTCAATCATCACATCTCAAGGTGAATAAACATTTTGTGCAATTAGTCTGTTTATAACTGAAACCGAAACGCATCCTGCATCCTGAACGAGCAATTACAAGAGATTCGAGACTGCTTTTAAACTAAACCAAAATATACAGTCCACTCAACCCAAACAACGCAAAGCATGCCTCGATCACTCTCACACGTAATAATTTCGAAACATACCATTTATTTCCAGGCGTTCTCCATCCTTAAACCACGTTATTTCTGGTTTAGGAATGCCTTGAGCATCGCATTTGAAACGCACTGTCTTTGCAGCAGGATGAGATTCTGAGATGGGTGTACCATTTGCTTTGAAGTATGGAGGAACCCACACATCCACTTCAACCACCTGAAATAATATGAATAGAATAAAATGTGCCATGAAATGTACTAAGAAAGATAGGGGAGGAGAGAGAGGTAGGGAGAGAAAAAGAGGAGGGATGGAGGGAGAGAAAAAGTAGTATTAAAGCATGCAATACCTGACCTAGAGCACATTACCTGTAAAATAGGATCTCTGTCTGGTGCAGACACACTGCATGTGTAGTTGCCGGTATTCTCCAGAGTCACATTTTGAATGGTTAATAAAGAGAGAGCAGATGTTGTGTGATTTAACACAATAGATTCAGTTGAATTTAAAGGTTTGAAAGTCCAAGTTATTTCTGGGGATAGTGAACCCACAACAGCACATGGAAGCACGAGGGTCTTTCCCTGGTGGAGTTGCACTGTTGGGAAATGGGGATTTAGGAACTGCAGCACCTGTGGACTGTCTTCTTGAGAACGGGCTATAACTTTCAATGAGATTTCAGGGCTGACACGCTGCTTTTTATTTATAACATTTGTGGCTGTGCACCTATAACAAAATATTAGTGATTAATAAACATTTCTTCATCATTTGAATAAAAAATAAGCAACACCATTATAATATATACTTATGCACAATAAAATTAATCTGATGTAAAAGTATTTCTAAACCAACTCTGAGTTTGCCAAGCTTATTCAAATATATTTACGTTTTAAAGGCCTTCATAATAAATGTAGTGATGTCACAGGTATCTTAATACATTCTTGTCAAAGGCAAATCAGTATTGAAGAAACCTGAACTCAGGACAGGAGTCTCAATTCAAAACACATACGATACATTACAGAACGAAGTACAATATATTATTGATAAAACCTAAACTTAACGTTCTATAAATCTCTCAAATATGGAGGCTAAACGACACTTAAAAATTATAAAATATGGAAAAAGAAAAGACTTCTTTTTAACAATTAACTCATTATTACAGTGTAACATACTTTGCGTAGAACAATTTCTTTCACAGAGAAGGAATTAATTGTTTTCAGAGCGTGATAAAATCAGTTATAATATTTGTAGCACATTATACAGACAAGCAAAGAATGATTTCTCATATAAATTGAACATCCAGAAATGAAAGCCCTCCAATATAACGCAAACATACGAAATACATCCGAAACGAACGTATCACAAAATGTGCATCTCATGCTTTCTGTACACATATTCTTTCCGACTTTAATATAGTTGAATGTACCGTTTTATTCAATTAAGAGACATTGTAACATTAATGTTAAATAAATAAATAAATACTCCTTATATTATCCCTCTCCTTTCCATGTCGCCGCCCAACAATAAAATACTGGGAATAATTTCCCAGTGTACAACATTGCAGAACTGTATAGAAATACCGCATGAAAGATTATATTAAGCAATTCTTCATAAACAACTAACGATTGTTAATTAGCTAACTAAATAATAATCATAAAATTTTCGAACTCAATTTTTTAAATTTTTTCTTTTATATTACATTTCCATTGTATTTTTAAGAGAGAAAACCTAAAGGGACAAACGTTAATTATGGTCCGCGGATCGAATGAAAGAAAATACATCAATTTGATTGAGAATATTAATTTTACAATTGAATAAAATTCGAATTATTGTGATTTTCAATAGTGAAAAGAAATTGAATATTAAATTATTTCATTACAATTTTTTTTTCATTCCTTTTCTCGGAGAATTTTTCATGGGCTATAGTTGGAGGGGCATCAGTACATTTCATTAATTTCAAGCAGAAAGTACGCGAAAAACTACAAGTTAAAAAAAAATTAATCACCTTTAATGTGCGGATTTTGTCGAGCAAGTTTAGGACGCTTCAAAAGAGTTGGTCTAACCCCCTGTGAAGCATGCTACCTCGTTTTGTCGTAACAAATTTCACATGAGGTTCCACGGGGATTCTACGGGAATCGAACTCGGAACCTGAATGGTGAAATGCAAGCGACTTCGCCATTGAGGCACAAGTTTAATATCAAACGGTGTATTATTTACTATATGTATTGTGGCGTAACCAAATTTTATTATATTAATTTTACTATATTAAGATAGTTTTCTCCACGGAAAGAAAGTAGGTCGCGAGACTGGGCTGTCTAAGAATCCTTTTTAAACGAGTTCTTTTCAACGCACCGAGCCCCTGTCGCCAGCTGCCCCGACCGCCCGCAGCACTTATTTACAAGTCGCTTGTCGCACGCCCGTCGATAGGATGGCGATCCGCAGGGAATATCATTTCCCCACCCCTCTTCGGAGAGCCCCCGCG